ACTTAGCTAATTACACTGCCCGGTTTTTCAAGCTTGCCAGGAGAAACTGAGAAAAAATAAATTCTTTCAGTCATCAGGTTTTTAATGACCAAAAGGCACAAACTTAGTTACTCAAACACAAACAGACAGACAAATTATTAGCCCTGGCTTTCACGTCAGTCCAGTATTACAGAGTCAGATTCAAAGGAACTGAGACAGTTTGTCCCATGTCACCCCAGAAAGTCGTCAGTCCCCACACACACGCAATCAGACAGACAAGAAACAAAGCACCGATACACTCCTGCCACGAGTGCTACAACCATTGGCACGGCAGCTTTTCACGGAGGGACTGAAGCCTATGGCAGAGAGAAGCTGCTGCTTTAGGGAGCACTCTGGGGAGTAATGAGCTCCTAGAAGACGATGTAGGTAAAGTGCAGAAGCACCGGGGAAAGAACACAAAGGCGATGCCTATCCTGTGATGCATACGAACCGCAATCGCTTCTCAGCTTTATCGGAGGTCTTGGTGGGACAGAGACCCCCGCTGGGTCAGTCGGCTGCCTGCTCCAGCCCCCGCGCACCTTCTGCAGAGCGGCCTCCCCGCTCGGAGCAGCGGCTCATCCGCAGCCTGCAGACCCGCGTCCGCCGAGAGCCGCAGACCGGCTGCGGGAAGCTGCGCCCCCTGCCACGGCGAGCGCCGCAGCGGGCTCCAGACCCGGCGCCACCCTCGGCTACCAGTGGCTCCGAAGCCGCACTTTCTCAACTGTCTCGGGCAGTTGAATATCACTAGAGGAAAGTAAACAGAGCAAGCGTCCTGGGTGTTCTGTGTGCCAAGATGACTCACCCCCAAATCCCAGGTTTTCAGCTCGGGATCATATTTGTAACCAAAAAAATCACTCGGCGTAGGAGGGAGAACTTTGTATGAAGCTGCCCTCTGTTTTTGTTTTTGGGGGGGGTTTTGTTTGTTTGTTTGTTTGTTTCCCACTTGTAAATTTGGATTTACTTCTTCTGTTTTACACAAGCTCTGTTAAGTTACGTTTCCAGCATTTTGTATCGCTGTTTACAAATCTTGCATGGATGGACGCCTGCCACCGTGAGAAGCAAATCCTCATGTCCTCAAAAATCACACGGGTAATCTTTGTATACTTCTGACGACTGCCAGAACTACGGCATAAACAACAAGCACACAAGAGGTACGTACATAGGTATAGTCACCGTCACCTGCTTAAGAATTTTCTTCTAGATTTGTTTGTTTTGTTAACGATGTTGGCACCAGGACGCAGAGAACCAAACCGGCTTAAGGGGAAGGCGCACACGGAGCCCAGAGGGCTCGGGACCCTGGGGCCAGTTCCTCTCCCCTCCTCCCACTCTGAGTAGCACATCTTCCAGGGTTTCATCCCAAATATCCGTCCACCTGGGGAGGGTGGTACAGTCTTGTGTGTGTCTGGATTCGATGCCTCTGATTCTATAATTAAGAGGTTTTTCCTTAAAGATATTCTTGTTAGTAACTGGCGCGGTCCACGCCATGGCGGGGTCTTGAAAAGAATAGCTTGGGCTGCCCTTTCCGAGCTGGCAGGGCCCCGGAGGGAGAGCTGCTGGCAGGGCCACAGCTGCCAGCACTTGCTTTCACTGTAAAGATCTCTGCCTTGGCACAGTGGTGCTGCTTTCGCTTTCTCTTTTGATGTTGCTTTCACTTTCTCTTTTGATGTTTTGGTCAGCGTGGCAGTTTCCTGAGTTTCCAAAAGATGCAAAAATGACACACAAACAGTTGTTGTCATAAAATCAGATTATCCCACAAAAGATCCGGCAAGATTGAACAATTCCAAATTGTCCCTTTTGAGTCAATTTATTACACCAACGGATGTTTTAAAAACACCTTAGGAATAGCCATGAGCAATTGTTTTTACCGAAGAAATTAATAAACAATAGAAATCTCCATCCTCTTCCCACCAGCTGGGTAAATGGTTATATGGATTATAAAATGGGAAAAGGAAAAATTTGGTACCCTCCTAGGGGACGTCCTAAATATGACTTCAGTTGGCAAACGTCATTTACAGGGGATTACATTTATGGTAAGAGAATGGTTGGAATTAATGGAAAAAGATACTATAAAAAGAACTAAGTTTAGGAGAAAGAATGCATAGAAACCCTGTTACTCATTGATGTCCTAAGTTAAATAAAAACACCTTAGGAAGATATTGGAACAAAAACATATGATGCACAACTTTCCCTCCTAAAAATAAAGATTATAGATGGAATTTAGAATGCACCTGGTTTTGTGAGGGATGGTGCTGTGCACTTTGACACGTTACATTGGGCCACACAGCTGCTATATTAAGTACATGCATGATAAAGCTGTTCAAATATCTTTTATTCCTTTCCAAATAAACAATAGGTTCATGCCTATAGAAATATGAGAATCATTAAATCAAATTTAAAAATATATATAAGGTTTGTTTAACACTTTGAAACCACAATCGCTGCCGTCTCAATTTTGAGGCAGACATATAATTTATGCTTGCTGGTAGTAATAAGTTTAAGGTTAATACAAGAACAAGAAGAAAAAAAAAACACAGTGGTGAAAAACGTCAAGAACAGCGAGTCACGGACTAATTGACCACACAACAGATATAATCACCAGAAAGAATTGGCTGACGACTGAGTTTTATTTAACCTTGTAGATTATTAATTTTATGAGAACTGACGTAATTTAAAGAAAAGTTCCTGTTTAACTATTGGTTTAATAATTTTAAAGGTTTATGTAGTTAAAATGCCCACATTAACCCCCCCGTGTTGTGTAACAAATAAAAATGCTGTTTCCAGTCTGAAGGCTGCCTCAGCTGCTTTAGCGGCTCTGGCTGCGACAGCGCTGACAGCCTGCAGGCTGAGAACGTGCTTCAGAGGAACCGAGGTCTCTGCCTGTGTTTTTTATTTACACCACTTCCTCATCCCTCTTTCAAGGACCCCCAACTCGACTGGAGCTGGTCTCCGGCAAG